AAAATGTGTTTCCGAGCTGTCACTCAAAGATAAAATGGCTATTTGGGCAAATTTTGGAAAAATTTGACCAAAAAAACTTTGACCACACCAAAGGCGCTTTTTGAAACAATTTAGGGTCTGTCGGCCAAAATGGAGGTACTAAAAAGGGGTACCCTTTGGGTCAGCAGAGGGTCAAAACCCTGAGGTGGGGAAGGGAAGGTGTTGTGTGCCGCTCTCCCCCGCCCCCTAAATCCGCTGGTGGGTTGATCAATATAATGAGCTTATAACTTTGAGAGTGGATAGACAATTGCTTTTTAAGTTTGTCAGGTCAGCGCAGAACAATTTTTCATTTGACCTCACCCAGGCCGATGTCGCGACTTAATCATAAATACAACAAAGTTTGATCTTTTGTCAAAAAATATGTTTCTGTGCGGGAGAATAAATCCTAAATATCATATCCGACCATTGGGTTGTGACAGATCTGAAATTGAAGTTAGGTTGCTCAGCAACACATCAAAAAAACTGTTGGACTCAAACAAGCTACTGGACCTCAACAGGTGTTGAATTTTTGACAACTTTCACAATTTGCGGTGAGTATTAAAGTTCTGTTCTACGATTTTCGTTTTCCAAAGTAAATATAGAGATATATAGTTTGGAAATGAATCTTACTGCTCCAAGTATTTTTATTCATTTTAGAGAATGAAAATGTGCTGCAAGGAGAGTTTTAAAGAAAAAAAGTCGTTGCAGTCTGCTTTTTGTTGACGATGTAGAAACTCGGTCCGCTGTTCGAGTTTTGACAAGGTGTAAGCTTTATCATTCGGTTGACTTGATTAGATTTATTGAGAAGTGGAGGTATAATTTCTGGTGTGATTTGGTCTTATTTCTATTTGGTATTTGTTATATCTAAATGTACAGATGTCAGTGTGAGACTCTTGGTGGCACCAGACGAGTTTTAGTCCGGACTGGATTACTCATAGAGTAATTTTAGATGAGGTACAACGTCTGTTCGTCGCGTTATCTTATTTTTCGCCGGATAGATTCGTGCAAATTCTTAGTCTAATACCAATCATATTATTACTCCTACATCTCCTAGTCTCAATAAATCTAGTGTATACTGGTTTTTGCGAGGCTTTATATCAAGAAATGATGCGAGGAAAAGCAACTGTTTGCTAAACTAAATTCATTCTGTGTTGTTGCTGAAACTATGAATAGTTCCAGCCTTACATAATTTTGTAAGTGATAGTTATGTATCATGCTTGGTTAGTAAATAACATTTTATAGAGATAGTTTTATCAAAAATATAATTGGATATAAATACTAGTTTTAAACTGATTCCACTCTTTTTTCATTCAACCCTAGTCTGCGTTCTGCTGGTTTGCTTCTGAAAAAAATTGTTTGCTGATTTTTCCTCAATTTTTACTTGACCTGATTATCAAGAAGGTCGAATACCGCCAACTGATTCTTTTTTGTTTTTTTTTCCGTATGCAGAGGCCACCTTTGTTAGTCTTCATGTTTCTTGCAACTTTAGCTAACTCGTTTTTTTTTGTCTTATTCTTTGCAATTTGTTTGAGCTTTTTGTTCCGACAATTTTTGAAGAAAATGATTGAAAACTTGAGCTCGAGGCGGTTTTTTTCAACAAACAAATTTCGACTTCTTAAGTATTAAGTAGCTTTTTTGAACCAGTTTTTTTGTATACTTCGAAAGGTCTTGTTGTTCTGAGCTCAACAGGTCTTTTTAAAAATCATTATGGGGGTTTAAAGAATGCTATTATGGCCAATTCGGAAAAATTAACACGCTATATGATTAAAATGCAATCGAGCTAATTTGCCCCAATGAAGATATTGACTCTTATCCCGAATCATCCCTCACAACAAAATCGTTCCACATTGAATTGAGGCTAACTCATTGGCCATATTAATTTCCTACGACTCAAATCAAAATTTCGGTCTTTGATATTGTCCAAAATTTATAGCTTTTCAGTTTTTTCCCAAAAATCTATTCGACAGGGATTAAGGGGCAGTCGGAAAGTTCAGGACTTTGCCCTGCTATACGAGCAGTTTCTCATTCCAAATTGATTGAGGCAGGCTATTTGTCATAATTGCTACGTGGGCATTTTGTCATTATTGCAAAAATGGTAGAGTAGCGACCTTTTGTTAGAGTATGGGACCTTTTGGTCGACGAAAAGCTACTTGGCAATGGAAGATCACAGCGTCTCATAAAAATCTTCATATCGAATCAAAGGGCCGGAATATCTACGTCTACCCACTTTTGAAATAAAAACACAGAGCGATATTTTTTTAAAACGGTAACCCAGTAAAAACGAGCAAATTGGTAACTTCTACTTTACCGATTAGGTGTTATTCTTTTGTCACAAGGCTCTGAGAAGCGACTGTGAGAAGACCAAAAACCTCAACTTCTAAACAGTAGCGGATTTGGGGGTCTATGGGTGGCGTAATTTTCCTTTTTCAGCGATTTCGTTATCAAAGTTTTCCAAAAAGGCTTAAAAAAGTTTTTTGGCCTGTTTGTTTTTTTCAAAAGCATTGTTTCAAAATGTTTTGAAAATCGATACCAATTATCGAAAATGCTCACAAAATGGTTTTGAAAGTTCAAAAGACTTTTGTAAAAGTAAAATTTCGTGATGCAATTTTTTCGGTGGTTTTTTCACAAAAGTTATTGCTCGTGCTCAAATAAAGCTAATTATTTTTTAATCCGCTCGTAAATTTTACAATTCACCATTTTTATAGATAAAACTTGTAAACTTTGATTATTTTGAGCAGAAAACTGCGTAAGTTCAAAAATTAAAATAGTATTTTGAATTTTTTCGTAAGTTGTCTAAAAATGAACAATTTTTTATTCCGACGGGGACGCGGTTTCCTATTCTACTGAAATATTTTTCAATTTCCTTGTTTAAGGGAAACTTTTTCAAACGAAAACGCTTTTGCTTTTGGGTTCCAGCCAGGGAACGGATGTTAACTTGGATCTTGTTAAATTATCATGTTACCAGAACTGAAAATTGCCCACTATAAGCAAATGATTTGGAGCTTAAGCTATAAAGTTCAAGTTATTGATCTGAGTTTTTTTTGGACAGGGAAAGTGGCATTGACTTTGTCCTTCCAGATATATTAGGACCCGGGACTAAATATCCCATAGAGCTCATTATGCTAAAAAAAGCTCTGGAATAAAGTCTCCTCAAAGTAAATCCCGCAAAAGAAAAATTGACCCTTGTTGAAACTATTTTGACCTAAGAAATTTAATTTTAAGCAGACAAAATGAGCTGTAATTTCCACATGCGCATGGAAGCGAAATTTGTCATAGACAGTGCTCGCTTCATGACAAAGCAGGTATGTCCATGACAAAGCAGTGTCTAAAATATCCGATATATTTTTGACAAATAAATCATTAGTTTTTTAAAGACAAATAAAACAAAGTTTGGACTGTGTTTTTGCCAAACATTGCGAGGCCAAACTGAGCACTCTGTGCATTGCAAAGAGAATACGAAACAGGCCAGATTCAAATTTGTTGCGAAATCCGCAACATTGCTACTTTTCTTTTATCTTCTCAGCTGTTTTTCCAAAAACAAAGGCCAAAAACATTGTATCGCTCAAATCGCTCCTGAAAACAGGCGAATTTTTGGAATCCGCAATGGCATTTAGGGCATCCAGAATAGTTTGTGGAATCCACAAACAAATGATGAGACATTTGTATCGTTAAATTGAGCTGTTGCGGAATCCACAACTATAAGTGAAATCCGCAAAGTGTAAACACTAGATGAAAATTCCATTTTGTCAAAAATTTATGCAAATTTTTGAGGCCCGTTGAAACCATATATCCCATCATGAATAGCAAATGGTCTGAAACACATTTAGAAGAATCTCAGCGCTAATCGGATCAGATGAAAAAGTACCCATGGCGACTCCAAATTTTGAAACCAATTTGGGTGCACCCAAACAGGGGCATATATAGCAGCCAGGAGAGGGTGGAAGCAAGGATTTGACTGACTGGCCAAACTGGGTCCCATTTAGTACTATTCTGCAAAATTTAGTCTTGATTAAGTTTATTTTTGCCTTTGGCGCCAATATAGACTGAATAGACGCCAAAATTGAGCGTCAAAAAATTTCCAAAATGCTTAAAATGGAGTTTTTTAGGCTGTTTGATGTTGAAAAACTTTTCCGCTTTGCTGAAAACTTTGACAAAATTGGGTCTCTTTATCGTTTTTGAAAGAGTCGAAAAAATTTCTTTGATGGACAATAATCTTTTTTTTTTGAAAATCCTCGAGAAATTTTTATATCCGCCCCCTTACAATCAGCCATTTTATTGAAGAGGTGCCATTTTATTGAAGTTGGGCGTCACAGGATTATCATTTGAATCCATATATCATAATGATCGTTTTTTTTAAAGTTGCGATCTTTAAATAGTACAAATGGGACCTTTTGGGCGATCAAAAGCTACTAGGCGATGGAAAATTATTGCGGTTTAATTACAATTCTTCAAATCGAATGAATCTGACGCATTAAAGGTAAGTGCCAAAATTCATCGTTTCAGTGAGTTTTTTACCATTGTCATTAAATGATTGTACATTACAAAACTAGAAAATTCATCGTTGATATTCAAAATGTTTTTTAGATTCAAATTACTAATTAAATTTTTCTGAGGCTTTCTACCGTTACAGCTATTCTATGCGAACTCTACTATTGAAACAAAAACACAGTGTGGGGGACATATTATTGTCACAATGCTGTCGGGACTCATTGATAAGAAGACCAAAAAGCTATACTTCTGAATGAAAGTGAAAAATACAACTTAAAAGTATGAACATAACCATAAAGCACTTTTTGACTTATGTTCTCAACTGATACGATAATTATCGTAAATACACGCAAAAATGATTTTGAAAGTTATAATGAAAGTATAAGAAGAGAAACAATTTTTTCGGAGGCTTTTGTAAAACATTTTTTTTCGTGATGCAATTTTTCCGGAGGTTTTTTAGCAGAAATTACTGCTTTCTGCTCATATAAAGCTAAAAGTTTTTTTTGCTTACTGTTCACAAACTCTACCAGTCATCGTTTTTAAAGATCAAAAATTGAGAACCATTATTCGATTATTTTAAACAGAAACTGCGTAGATCCGAAAATGAAAACCGTATCTTCAACAGGTAAAAATGAATTTTTTTCCGCACAATGTCAAAAAATCAACATTTTTTGGTTCCGACGATAAAATGAGTTTTTTGTACAGTGTTTTTTAGTTTAAAAAATGTTTCCCCTTGAGTCTTTTTATTGGGGAAAGGATGTTAACTTGGTTTTTGTTAAAACTTCCAGCTGATCAAAACTAAAAACTGCACAAAATAAGCAAATAATATCAAATTTAAATCACAGAGACATTAAATTGGTCTATTTGGGAAAGTGAAAGTGGCATTGAATTGATCCTCCCAGATTTTAGGACCTGGGACTAAATCTCCCATACGGCTTTATTTATTTATTTTTTCCAGAAAATAGCCCACGTTTTCTGCAAAAAATTAAATGTGCTTTTAACAGTCATATGGGTGTGTATCTTGTATTTTTGAGTTTCCCAATTTTTGAACCTTTAGCAACCCAACAAGACTGCTCGCATTACAAAAAAAAATTATAAATTTTTTAAGAAAAACAATACAAAAGTTGGGTACAATATATTTCAAACTTTCAATTCAGAAGCAATTCCGATCTAGGTAGTTCAGAAATTAGGCTTTGGTCCAAATTTGCTCTTTTTTCAATGAATTAGTTCTTTCAGCATACTGCTTGCGTCTGGCGCGTGTCATTTTGCTGTGGTTCTCCCTGGCGAACGTTGCAGTTGACGGATCATATGCATGTGTCAGTGACTCGGACTGTACTTTCAATGGTCCTGACACCGAGTGTTGCGATAACGGCTACTGCGGCGAGCCCGGTACCTGTTGGTAAGGTCATCAGAAACGGATTTTAATTGAGGATGGAAAAAAATGAACTCGGAAATATAATCGGAAACAAGAACATTATCGGATATGAGGCTTAATAAAGGAAGAAGGCGGTTTGACCACAAGAGAAAGGACCAGAGAACCGCTGATGTGCCCCTGTTTTAAGATCTACCTGCAATTTTTTTGGTTATCTTTTTGGACTGGGTAGTTTTTCATCACCCTCAAGCAACGAGCTCGTATCATAATTCCTCGGCTCCGTTTCCCACCCATTTTGTACAATTCTTTGAAAAGTTTTTTCAAAATTGTTCATACGGAACTTTGTAGCAGAAAATTTTTTAGGAGAAGAAACTGAAGGAGCGGTGTTCTGTTGAATAAATTTATGGGAGTTAATTTGATCGTTTCAGGGAAGACGCTCTCCTCGGCTGGATTCTGATAATCTCGTTTTCAAGCTGCTGCTGCTGTTCTGTAGTAGCTGGTATCATTGGTTGTATCATATATAATAAAAACAAAAGTTAGTGAATTTAGGCTCTACATCTTTTTTCACTGCTTGTCTTCACTTACTTTGTTTTAAAACAGCAAAGATCAGCTGATGCAATAGTTGCTTATCCGCTCTGACAAACTCGAGATTGAAACTTTTTTGTTTCTGCAAAACTGAAGGCAGTTTAGCCACCTAAAGATAGTCCATTCCTTTTTTGATTACATTTTTGCACAGATGTGTTAAAGATTAAAAAAATTATGAAGAACATTCGCTCAATCGGTTTGCCATATGTTTAAACGACTTCTTGCTGAAAAGAAATTAATTGCCTAAAAATTGATTTGAATCATTTTAAAAAATTTAATTGTTTAGAAATTGATTTAAATCACTTTGAATCATAAAACCTTAAAAATCTCATCAAAAAAGAGTAAAACGCTATTTTGGGTTCGTATAAAGATCTTAACTTTTCGAAAAAAAAATTCGCGCTCTTTTAATCATTGCTTGTTGTCTAATATATTGAAAAAAAATTCGGGCAAAAGCTATATTTCGGGGCCAAACTGTGCACTGGATACACGCACAACTGCGTGTCTGTTTGTTCCCGGATTCCAGAGATAAATGCTTAAACCTGTTTCAAAATTTTCATGGATTCCGAATACCAGTAACCTAAATTTTATCTGCACATTGTTTTACAAGCGAATATAGCTAGTTGTTCTGGATTCCGCAAAGGTAAGCTGATTCTGTAAGTTGTAAGTGGATTGCGCAATTTTTTATTTTTACCGATTCCGCAACAGCTCAAATTAACTATGCGCATGTCTTATTGTTAGTTGTCGGATTCCACAAACTGTTCCGGATTCCGCAAATAATTTTGCAGATTCCGAAAAGTTGCTTATTTTTGGAGCAATTTTGTGCGGTACAGTCTTTTAGATATTTGTTTGTGGAATCCAAAACCGCAAAGAAGAGATCAAAGAAAAGCAGCAATGTTGCGGAATCCGCTTACATTGCAAAGTAAGCACATTTTGGCCTCGTAATGCATTTTAGCAGAAATATTTCGGACATAGTTTTTATAGTGTGGAGCAGATTTTGTAAGACTTTGTTATCTGAGGGTTTTAGGTTTGAGAAAGATTGAGCGATTGATAATTTTTATAAATATTCAATAGTAATTCAAAAGTTGTAGTTTTCCATGCAATCAATACTTAAACGAAATTTAGAAGCCAATATTTCGCTACAGTGCACTTTCGTCATTTTATCTTTTATCTATTTATTCTAATCAAAATTCATCTCAAAATCTCACGTAAAACGCATATAATTCAGTTTAATTGACAAAAACTCTAATGAAAAAAACAAAAAAAGGCAGAAAAAAATGTTTGATGATACTTGTCCAAACAGCAAAAAGATGGAACTGAAGTCAGAAAAAAACTTTGGAACTGAAATTGATTAGTTTTTCTAATTTGATTGCTCCATTATTATTTTGATTTGAAGCTAAAACGGTTGAGATTGTTTTTTTGTTTAAATCGGTTCAAATCGGTGCTTAAATGATTTTATAACAATACTTTTTGGCTAAATGATCAAGTTTTTCAATCGAGTACTTGTTGTTTTAAAATACTGTCTGCTTGTCTCGCATTCTTTATTGGTCGGATAACATCTCTTTAGCTTGAAATTAAATCTGAGTTTTATCTTTAAGGCAGAATTGCAATAGAGTTTTATTAGAGCAGGTTTTTGTAAATCTTGTTTTTGCGGATGTAAAATAGCGATTTTTTTTTCATAAATTAATTGAACGGTCTGGCCAAATAAACTGGATCATTTCGCAATTTGTTTTCAAGATTTTGTAATGAATATTAAATTGTCAGTGTTCAAACCTACACTTTTAGAGATGTACGGCTAAATTTTTGCCCAAATAGTTATTTAGAATGGTAAAATTTTGCTTTTTAGAGCTGGAAAAAACGAAAAAAAAAATTGCGACGAAATAGTTACAATTTAGTTAAGAATTTGAAGATTTTTTGTTCTAATGTCATAATTCAGTACTGAAAAAACATTGATTTAGCAATGAATTAGTGTGGAGATTTGAGCGATGATTTAGCGGGTTGGCCAAAAATGCCAGTCATGCACTTTTCGTTCATGGAAAAATGCTAATCATACACTTGTCATGCCATTCCATTCGTACAGAAAACTTCAAAAACCCGGGTTAAGAAAATACTTAGCGATGAAAATTTAATTGCTTTAACTTAATAGCAAATTTCTGTGCTCAAGGAGTGATACTTTCCACAAACCTTGAACATCAAGGGGTTTCATCGAATAGTTACAGACCTCTGGGCTCTCTTGTAAGAAAAGACAAAAATCATTTTTTTAGGCTGAAGACTAAAATTGTTCTAACAAAATTAAAATGAGACTTCACGTTTAGTTGGGTAATTTAAGCCAAGAAAGCTTTCGCTATAATTAGACGCTCGTTCTGGCCTAACATTGTTAAGACTTTTGTTGAAAAAAGCATCATTATCAAAATTAAAGAAAAAAATGAACAAAAATGTTGCTACATGGGCTGAATCATTGATAAATGAGCTCTGAATCCTGTTTGACAAAATATGTGACTCCCAAAACTGAAACATCTGTAACTAATTACTAATTCAGCCCTAAAAAAATTAATTTGTGGCACTATTTTATCAAAAAATAATGCTCTTGGATTCGTAAACGAAGTTGCTTTAGTAGTTTTTTGTTGGAAGTTTCTATATCAGCGATAGCTTTTGTAAAACACGGAGTAGTTCGTGAAAAGGTTCTTAGAAAAGTTTTGCAATTTTCATCAACTCTCAAATTGAAAATCGGGGAGTTTTTGTTTTTGTGTGCGTTTTTTTTTTCACCCAAAATTGAGTACTACAAGTAATCATCTAAATAGGTCGCGTATTATATCATGTTGTTAAATCTCCTTCAGCCGTAGTTCGAATGTCATTGAAAATTTCGAAAAAAATCTCAGTGTTGAGAAAAACCGGTACGAAAATTTTGATATTCAATTTTATTCGAGCAAGTAAGGCGAGCGAGCAGGCTTATAATAGGCTCACAAAAGACTTATTTAAGTTAAGTATAACAAATTTAGTTTTTTCCAGTAAAATTGATTTTCGAAGTTTTTTGAAAAGCATTCTTGGGAAGCAAATTGAATAAAAAATTTTTAAAAAGTTGCAAAAAAGAATGTGGGTATTGGACTTTGTTTTTATGGTCCTCTCCAATAATTTTCCTAGCAAAATCATTCAGATAGGTATCAACCATACGCTAATAATGAATGAAGTTTTCTCTTAATTTCGATGATCTCCCAAGATTTTTTCTGCCTCTTGTTCAGCAGAGACAAATGGGCAATTGGATAAAACAGCCCATTTTTTTCAGGTGGCTCAAGTGGACAGGTTCACGCTACGGCGGCACCTGATATGACAGTTACCCATGTCCAGGTGCTCACTTTATCTTTAGACTTATGAAGTCAAGCCCAGTAAAACTGCGTAACAGAAAAAAAATTACTCGAGACATGGCTTTGGGTCGGGCAAAATTTCGTGACACGGTCAAAGCAAATCGAAGTTTTTTCAAGCACAATCAAGTTATACACGATTTTGTTCGAGCCGCGAAAAAAAAGTTCTAGCTTGGGCTGAACAAAGTCGATTACAAAGTCGAAGCACAAACTGTTCGGTCAAAAAGCCGAAACACAAAATATTCGGTCAAAAAGTCTAAATACAAAATATTCGGTCAAAAAGTCGAAACACAAACTATTCGGTCAAAAAGTCGAAACACTAACTATTCGGTGAAAATATCGAAACTCAAACTATTCGGTCGAAAAGTCGAAACTCAAAATATTCGGTCAAAAAGTCAAAACACGAATACAAACCTATCTGACTTGGTTTCAACAAATTCATATACTTTTTTGACTGAGAAAATTGTCAAGTTGATTGAGAAAGTCGCCTGCCAAAAAGGTCAAAATCTATTTGACATGGTCGAATAAAAGTGAGCACATTTTTTCTGGCCGAGAAACTAGAAAAAAAACGTAATTGAATTTGTTCGAAACAGTCGAAAACATAAAGTGAGTACCTCGAATCGCGTATGTAGCAAAGGAGGTTCATGGCATTCTCGGGCACAGTAGAAAACGACAATCGTCAACTCCCGCCTCCCGAGTACTACTGATATGGATCAATTATACTCCAGACACGAATACTCGAGCGGGAGAAAAACTGGATATTCAAAACCATCAACTGATTTGACTTCAACTTCAGACTGACTGTTAAAAATTAGTGATTATAAAAATTTGACGTGCTTTTCATAAATATCATAAGCTTTCTATTTTACTCGTATGCAAAAAGTATTTACATCCAGGCACGGGGTTGTGTACCCAGGTTGAGTTTTGGCTCATCATTTCCCTAAAATTTATCCTTGACTGAATCAAAGTGACCAAAGAAATTATTCACACAAAAATAATATAAATTTTTTTCGACTTTAGAAATCCATGAATTGGGCTGAGCCTTTTTATTTAATCTTTTGAGAGAGTTATTACATCTGTTTAACCATTTCACAAAAAATTAATTCCTATTAGCATTTAGAAATCATCTGATTGAGCAAAGTTTTTTATTCGTCTTTTACCACATTTTCCTCCAAAAAAGTAATAGAAATACTAAAAATTTGAAAAACAAAAAACAAAATTAAGGCATTAATGTTTTTAGTTTTTGCAACAAAAAATTAATTCCTATTAGCATTTAGAAGTCATCTGATTGAGCAAAGTTTTTTATTCGTCTTTTATCACATTTTTCCTCCAAAAAAGTAATAGAAATACTAAAAATTTCAAAAACAAAAAACAAAATTAAGGCATTACCGTTTTTAGTTTTTGCAAACTGTTATTCTTTGTTTTTTCTTTTTTCTCTTTGAACTTTTTTCTTCTATTTTTTTCCGGCCGTAAAAGAAACTTTTTCTTTTTTTTATTTTATTTTTTGCGGCTGAAACAAACTAATTTTTTTTGCGGCTGAAATAAATCTTATTGCCCTATTTTTTGTCTGCTTGCACGCTTAATTCGCATAAAAATAAGAAAAATTTAAACCGGTGTTTCTCAACAAAAAAAATGGATAATTTTTTCAATTCTGGTGGAATCACGACTTGGAACAGTTCCAAGAAGTTTGACGGAAAAATTTACTTAAAAAATATCTGCGAATCAAAAAGATCTGGATTTTAAATCTCTAGAATATCTGGTTAAAAAAATCAAATTATCTGCGAATATATTAATTTGCTGAATTTCTGAGAAAAATTGTGTGATTTGTAAGAGGTAAGCAATTTCGTACTAATACAGATCTTTCTCGACTTATCAACATTTTTCAAAAATACATGAAAAAAAAAATCTTTGTGGAAAATAATCGATTATAATGCATTATTGAGGGAAAAAAACATAACTCAAACAATTGATTTTCATGACCCTTTTATACATGAAATCTGATTTTTAGGGGATTGTAATCGATTATATTCAACAATCAAAAATTCATTATATTTCTTTATAATCGACTATAGTCCATTTTTGTTCACAATAACCGATTATTTTTTGTTCATAAAACTCGGTTGTAAGCAAGCAGTTTTTGCAGCATTCTTCAAAACTAAAACCCGAACGTGTACAACCCCCCCCCCCACATTTCACATGCGCCTCTTCTTTCACGCCACGCCCCTCACTCGTTCCAACCCGCCACCCCACACACACATCCTTTCAATTTCGCCCACACCCTCCCTCCCCCACACACCCTTCCACCTCTCCCAACACCCCATCTTCGCCCTTTCACTATTAAACCATCCCTCAGTTTAACACCCCCAAGACTTTACTTCCTCCGTGAGGGGGTGTAGAGTTAAACTTCGGGTATGGGCGTTACGTGCAGTAAATAAACCCCTGGCTTAAAAGGAAGCTTAAAAAAAGATGGAGACAAGGATGGAATTATTTTGTATAATGGAGTGTAATAAAAAGTGTAACAAAATTCGAGAAACTAAAAATTTGCATACAAAAATATAAGGAAAAAAAGTTGAAAACGGCTCAAAACTTAAATGTCATTTTTGCAATTTTATTATGAAACGTGTGCCAAGCCAGAAGCAACTGCCATATTGTAAAACACTACACTCTCTTTGAAGAATATAGACATTTTTTAAAAACTTCATAAGCCACTATGATCAATTATAGTCGATTAAAATGAATTTTATCGATTTGACAAAAAAATGATTAGAATCCATTTTTAATAGTTTATACTCAATTTTTTTTTGCTTTTTTTGTGATGATCATAAAAACCGAATAAAAATGTTTATTATATAATATCCATGAATTTTCAGTGCCAGCTTCTATGAAGAAGAAAATTTTAGTTTATAAAACTAGTAATTACAACAACAACGATGAGCCAGTCAGGGCTTAGTAAAAGTCATTTGGGGGATAAAATGCCAATTAGCGAAAAGTTTTGTCAATTAATTGGATTAACAATCCTGGTTATGTCAATTAATTAATCAATTGCAATTAATTGTTTTCGTTCATGGCTTTTGCTACATCATTCTTTGAACAAAATTTTTGGTTGACGTTCAGAAAAAGCTGCATTTCGAGGTTCATTGGCAGCAGACTCTGTCTGAGGTCGTTGAATGCAAATCAGGCTTAGCTAAAAAAATCGTTCGAAAAATCGAACAAATTACAGAGCTACTCAATTGACTTGATTTTGACTTAAAATTGTATAGCGTGCAACCCAACTAAAAACACCCAGCTAATTGACGTTGTCAATTGACACTTATTGAAAGAAAAGTAATGTCAATTAATTGTCTCCAATTAATTGCAATTGATTGGTCACCAACTGACTTTTACTCAGCCCTGGAGCCGGTAGAGTGATGGCATAAACGTTATCATTAAATAACAGTTGGAAATAAATCAGATATATAGATACAATTAAAAAATCATTTTTTAAAAGGAATTTAGGGTGTTTTGACATCAGGAGTAGCCCCTATTTTCAGTGACTCCTCCAATCAGTGACTATTTTGCCATACTACCTGCCGTTCCTGCTCGACATAAACTTATTTGTAATAAAACTGAGCAGAGTGCAAACAAGTCTGCTAGTATCAGGGTTCCTATCAGAGCTCAGTGTGATCAGACTGCTCTTCAAAATTTATAGAGTAAGGTTCGAGCAAAAACAATTTAAAAATTTCAAAAAAAATGGAAATTTAAAAAAATGGATTAGTTCTTTCATGAAAATCATCCCCCACAAGTTGGTTGAAGTACAAAAAGATATATTCAGCAAACAGTATAAAAATTGTTCTAGCCTTTATTTCATTCGGAGTGATTTTGAAGCCAGATAAGGTAGTCGCTCATGTGTTAACAGCTTGAAATATATAGCAGAAAATGTATATCATAGGTAGACCAAAGTGGCAATTTTTTAACCCGCATAACTTCGTGAAAAAAGATCACAGATTTTTTTCAGGCTTTGAGCTCGTATCATTTAAAGTCTATATGAAATCTCTTCAGAAATGATTACCCGGATTAACAAAAGCCCCAAATCATACATTGACAAACAATTGAAAATTTCTTATTCTACAATTTTCCACAAGCAAAAGTGACCAGAAAATTTTATGAAACCTCTATGATGTTTTTATATATGATTATTGTATGTTTTATAAGAGGGGGTGTAGGGTTAAATTTCGGGTATGGGCGTTACGTGCAGTAAATAAACCTCATAAAGGGTTTCTCTTAAATTTTCTTAAGTTATTTTCACAGAACAAATATCTCTGCTGTCTTTTCAACCGAACGGAATCGACCTCGAAAAATTGCTGATTGGAAACTAACTCGAGCTCAATATTTGAGGGCGAGTTCTCAGCAAACGAAGTGAACAACTGTATCGGAATTTATTTAACAACTGTTAACTTGAAAGCTCTGATCTTTCCATTTGTTATCAGCTGAAAGTTTTGGCAAAAAATTGTTCAAGAGCATTTGATTAAGTTTGATTAGCGAGGCCAAAAACGATCGATTTTCAAAAAAAACAGCCCTTTAGGAAGAGAAAAAGTTGAAGTGTCTTACGCTGAAATTGCTTTAATTTTATATCTAAACTGAACAAGCAAGCAATATCACAGTTGGGATAAAAACTCGTACATTTTTGTTCCAACTTTCGACACGAAAGCAACGGAATATTTGTGCTCGGGGTTGGCTTTTTTTTTCTTCAGACAAATTTCGACTTTTCAACTAGCCATTTTTGACGGAACTTTTTTTATATCATTCAAAAAGTATTGTTGTCCTAAGCTTAAACTTGAAAAATCAATTCACCTGTGATTGTTTTTCGTAAACTTATGGTGGTTTAAATGTTGCCATTTTGGCCACATTGAGAAAATTAACGCCCGATATAATTCGCGCTATTAACGTGTAAGCGGGGTTTTTATCCGCCTTAGAAATCGTCCCAAATTGGTTGAATGAAGCTTGTTTGCCATAATTGATTTTTTACAAGGAGCGAAATTTATCCTTTTGTACATTATATGGCGTGTGGAGAGATGATTTTCATTAAAAAATTC